GTCGACAGGCCAACTCCCTCTCGACACTGTCTCAAGGCCCGTAGCCCCTGGCTACGTCCGAACACTCACTCCCATGGGGAGAAGAGAAGGACTCATCTCACTATCTAGTTTAAGCGAAACCCATGAAAGGTCCATAGCCGACAAGTCGGCATATGTATCGATCGATCAACCATACACTATGCAGAGGTTTTACATAACCACAAGATCCACCTTCCTCGCTGACAGTCGTCAACTGGGCTGATTCTGGCCGCTTGCTAGCCTAGGATAATGCCACTCTACCATTCAGCCCTGGTACACCCCAAGTCTAGTCTAGGGTGGCTGAAACTGTGAGTCATGAGCCGTGTCCACAAGGTCTCCATGAAGTCTTGGAAGGGTGTGGGGGAAATCCTCCACGCCCCGTACCTCCTTACACTGTCCGCTATCAACCTAGCAGTAGTGGCAATATCCTACCCAGTAGTCCAACCGTCCCGCACCATATAGGGCGAGTGGTACGTAAGGCTTCCCGGTGAATCTGAGTACTAGTAAGTCCTTAGGGATGACCAAGCCAGAATGTCTTCATCAGGGTTTCCATTTACTGTGCCACCACAGCACCTCCACCCTGGGCTTCTCCCATCATAGGTTCACACCCAGGGCCACCTCATATACCATTTACCCACCATAGGTATCCATTCCAGGGGTGCCCAGGTAGCACCCCACGGCAAGACTCGCCCCAGGCTCGTCGTATACTCCAACTTGGTCGACACAACCCTCACCCTCCACGCACCCAAGTCACACACGCAGCACTTTCCCCATAGTCCAGATAACACCAATTTTCCACCACGCATCAATTTAGTACAAGCATAGTAGAAGTAATAAGCAATAAAATATAGCAGCAAATGTGTGACTAGCCTAACAGCAGGGTGAGCAGGGGCAAGGTTGCGTCAAGGTAAAGGCCATCAAAAAAGCATACTACCATACAAGTCCTATCATAGTGTGATCATAACAATAAAGTAAAGCATTAGCATTTCTATTTTAGCCATGCGTAATAGGTGCTACGAGATTGGGTGGGATGTGGCACCTTCAGTGTAGTCGTCTCTGTACTCCTCATGGTACTCTCGGTCCTTGTCCGTCTGGTTCTCCTCCGAGTCTGCAAACGATCGCATTATAGTCGCGTTAGCGACGTCTATAGAATAGCACAAAGAAGCAATGAAAATTTAAAAGAGCCAAATGCACTCAAACATGGGTTCATTGCGTAGAGCTCGATTTTAGATGAATTTTGGTCGTGGTTTCATATTTTTCTGAGCTCGTATGTATTAGTTATGAATTTCTGAAGATTAAATCCATTTCTAAAAATGGGAAAGTCTAAATTAACCCTAGGCTGACACGTGTCACACTGTGACTGGTCCACGTCAGCATGATGTCATCATCTCGGCTCCGAGCTAACAAGTGGGGGTCCTGCTGACGTCATCTTGACGTCAGCATGACGTCATCTTGACGTCAGCATGACGTCATCAACGTCATCATTTCCGACATGTGGGGCCAGAGGCTCTTGGGTGACTGACTTGTGGGTCCGGTCAAAGTCAACGTCAAGTCAACGGGTGAGTCAACAGTCAACGGATCACAGTCACTAACAGGTGGGGACAGGGCTGCTGACGTCACCGTGACGTCATCATGACGTCACCTCAGCTGTGTTGTTACTGACAGGTGGGACCCGCGTGACGTCGTCATGACATCAGCATGACGTCACTTACTGACATGTGGGTCCTGAGTCTCTGTGTCGCTGACATGTGGGCCCCGATCAACGGTCATCGTTGACCGGTCCACGGTCAACATAGGTCGGGTCCAAACTGGGCTGGTTGGGCCTGGATACGGGCAAGGCTTTGGCCCACCACGTGGCATGCTGTGGCGTTGCCACGTCGTAGCCAAGGGCCTCCACTGGGCTTCGTCCACAGTTCGGCCCACACCGCGTGGCTCATGGTGGACTGGCGTTCACGGTCCATGGACCGTAGGCTAGGTCTTCGGTGGACCGAGTCTATCCTTCTTCCCTCTGGCCTGGTCCATGTGCACCGGGTGCAGGTGTGTGCGGCCGGTGAGGGGAATCCTCTGCTTCCTTCCCCGGCATGCTCCCGCCGGTGGTGTGCTCACCGGCGAGCTCCTACAGCGGCGCTGGCGTCCAATTGAGGTGGGGAAAAGCATCGCCAGGCCTTGGCGTGTACGGTGGTGGGGTCAAGGTGGCGACCAGAGCTTCCTAGGGCTTTGGCCATGGTGGTCGGTGGCTCGGCGTGGCGGTGGTCGCCGACGGGGCATCTAGGGGCAGTTCCAGGGGTCCTGGTGCCCCATTTTCTTTCAGACGGTTAGTGGGAAGCATGATATAGCGTCGACGATGACCATAGGGCGTGGCGGAGTCCGCACGCGGTGGTGGTGCACGGCGGAACTCTGGTCGAGGTCCGGTGCTCGTGGCCAAGGCGTTGTGGCTGGCTAACGATGACTTGGTCTACGCGGCTATCCTCCAGGCGTCACGGCGGTGCTCTATGGCTGCGTCCTAGTCCAGCGAGACGGCCGGGTGCGCACGGGGTGGCCGCGCCATGACGGCGGCGTCGTGAGCGCGATGAGCGCGTGCACTGCTACGGCGTCCATGGGCTAGGAGGAGGTCTCAGTAAAGGACTCACCGAGTGGTGCTGGCGGCTTTCGGTGGTGGTGCGGTGGTGAGGCGCGTCGTCGGGGTAGGCGCTCGGGGTGACGCTCCGAGCTCCGGTGATCGACGTCTCCGAGCCCTCTGCTCGCCTCCCCTCTTCCGAATTTCCTTCTCGGCCCTCTTCTCTCGATGCGGTGCGGGTAGTTGGGCCACCGAGCGGTGGCATCGTGGGCTGAGGAATCCCTAGGGCGCTCTGGGCGTTGCTTTATAGCCCTAAGGTCCGAGCTTCACCTATGGCGGACGGGGCAGACGGCAGGCGATGCGCCGATTGCATCGGACGGTATCGCGGGCGCAGGTGGTTGGTGCAGGGTTGCGTGGGCGCGGCGCCAAGGGAACAGGGCCAGGAGATTCGCGTGACCCCGGGCCCGCGCCTGTCGTTTTGGTCGGGACTCGGTCGGAGGAGGTGCCGGCGTGGGGAGGAAGAAGACACTGTGCCGGGAGTGGCTGACGCGTGGGGTCCGGATGGCAGCGGCAGCTGGTGGGGCAGACGGGCGCGTGGGCGTGAGCTTGTGCTGGGCTGGCTTGCTGGGCCGGTCGCTCGGTCGCGCGAGTTGGGCCGGCCTATGCGCGATGCAGGGCTGGCTTGCGGGCCGAGCAGGCCGAGCCGGCTGCGAGGCTTTCCTCTTTTCTTTTCTTTTTCTGTTTTATTTTCCTTCTTTATTTGAATTCAAATTTGATTCGGAGTTTGAATTCAAATCTGGTGTACCTCATCCATTGGATTATTAGATGTGTGGTCCACAACACTCTTATACATATTAGGAACTTTATTTAGCTATTTTGTATAACAAAAATAGGTGTAGTTTTGTTATTCAAAAATAGAACTAGTTTTCTCTTTAAGCATTTATTCTTTGGTTTGATTTATAATTACTTTATGGTTTATTACTTTAAAAGAGTTGTTAATCATTACACAAAGCAAATGGAAATTCAAATCACCATTTGAATTAACAATGTATGCTACATTTTATTTGTTAGGATTTACATAAACATAATTAACAATTGACATGCCATGCTCATGAAATTGTCTAGTTGGGTTACATCTAATGCAACACCTAGGGTTGACTCCTACAGATGTCACTCAACATTGCATAGGATAACAACAAAAAAATTTGTAGTTCTGATTTTTGGTGTGTGGATTTTTGGGTTGTTACAGCGCCTCCGACTGATCCAGCTTTTCCTTCACCAGGCACTCAGTTTCCACCTTGGTGATGAGTAGCATTAGTTGTATTTGCATTTGTTGTTCACTTGGTGATGGATTTCTGATATACTTGTCATGCACTTGTGGTGTATTTGGATAACTGTGATATATGTGATAGATGTTTGGATTGATGTATGTGATATATTGTGATGAATGTGATATATGCGATGGATGTGATAAATATGTGATGTATGTTTGGATGGATGTGAGATATATGTGATAATTTGTGTTTGTCGTGATGGAATGTAAAAAATGAATAAAAAACTGGTTTTGGTTAGTTTGCCGAGTGCAATGGTCACTGCACTCGGCAAGCTAGACAAAGGGGCGCCAGCCCATTTCCTAGCTTTGCCGAGTGCCATGACCATGGCACTCGGCAAAGAATTGTTTTAAAAAAATATAAAAAACTTTGCCGAGAGCCACCCGTCCGGCGCTCGGCAAAGAAATTTAAAAATAAAAATAAAAAACTTTGCCGAGTGCCATCCCGGACGGCGCTCGGCAAAAAATTTAAAAAAATAAAAAAAACTTTGCCGAGTGCCAGCCTGGGCGACGCTCGGCAAAGAATTTTAAAAAAATGAAATACTTTGCCGAGTGCCGTCCTAGTTGGCACTCGGCAAAGCCGCCGTCACCGTTTCCTGCGCCGTGATAGCTCGTTTTCTTTGCCGAGTGCTGTCTCGGCACTCGGCAAAAGCTTTGCCGAGTGCCCGACAAATGGCTCTCGGCAAAGGCTGCTTTGCCGGCTATTTTTTTACCGAGTGGCCTTTGCCGAGTACGGCACTCGGCAAAGCCTTTGCCGCAGCAAAGCGTCTGAATCTAGTAGTGACATGCTATTAACGGGCTAGGGTGTTACAATGTGCTATCGGTCCAAAGCACAGGGATAGCAATCTCTGCTCCTCATAGCAGTAGGTTTAGGAGTAGGTCCAATTCCATAGATAGGGTTAAATATTATTTGGTTTTTACTCATCTGAGACTGCTCTTCCGGTGCCGGGGTGCATTTACAGTTTGCTTTCCGAATACTAACATATATTTGGGTTCTGGAAAAGATATTTTTGAACTGTCAACTACTGTTACTTGCTTAAAGAAAATTTCCCTACTTCTTAAGTAATGAGAAAAATGGTACAATGCTGGAAGCAGGTTACCAAGTTTTAGATGTTGATGGTTCAGAGGAGATGTACGACAGGATCATACTTGGTGTTAATGCGCCGGATGCACTAAAAGTACTAGGAGCTGGTGCAACAGTTGAGGAACGTAGGATTCTAGGAGTTTTCCAGTATATCTACAGGTAACACAGACACTATATATTGTGTTATTCCATATTGATATGAGCTGATACAATAAATTCTTGCATTTTTCGTCTTCACAGTAACGTGTACCTCCACTGTGATGAAAGTTTGATGCCACATAATTCCTCCGCATGGAGCGCTAGGAACTTCTTGGGGACAACAAGCAGTGGTGTCTGTGTTACCTCCTGGCTAAATATACTTCAGGTGACTAAGTAACATGGTAGCTTCATAAAGTGACTTCAGATTTATTATTTTTATTATTATGCAAGATGGTTGATGAACAAATATATTTATAATATATTTTACCGAATATGGAAGTGTTAACTGTGGAACTTTCCTACGTTTGAATTGCTAGAACATTGAATCTGCCGGGCCTTTACTTGTGACACTGAACCCTCGTGTTCCCAATCATGTATTGCTTAAATGGCATACTAGCCACCCAATACCTTCCATTGCTGCTGCAAAGGCTAACCATGATCTCAATAACATCCAAGGAAAGAGGGGAATTTGGTTCTGTGGCGCATATCAAGGTGACCACTTTTGTTTCACTTCAACCTTCATACCATTTAACTAATTACAATATAAGTAAGACTGAAATGTTGCACTCCTTTTGAATAACAGGCTACGGATACCATGAGGACAGTGTTAAGGTATTCCATGTGCACTTGACCTTTTTAGGTTTCATCACTAAGGTGCTCAATATTATGCAGATATTTATGAGAGTGCATTCTGTTTATGGCAAACTGAATTAACTCAGGCTGGGAAAGCAGCAGCTTCAGGATTGCTCAGAACGAAATGTGAGCTTTTGGTTAACCCAAATCCGATGGTCCCATCATGGACTGAGGCTGGCGCACGTTATTTGGTAGCAAGAAATTTAGACCAAACATATCTATTGGTAACTTCTGGTGAGGCTAGCACGAATCCTTACACAGCACAGTCTCTCTAGTCAAGATTCTCACATCAGTTTTTTGCACAGCATGCTCGAGGAAGGAGGCGCTACGTTTAGTTTTGGTAAAGCATGTGAGAAATGTCCTATAAAATCTGTGATACGAGTTCACGATCCCCAGATCTATTGGAAGGTTCTGTTTTCTCTTTCCTGTCGTATTCGAAGTTTTGTTTTGACCATCCAAACTACATTCTGCTTTCTTCTTCACTTCTCATGTGAGATACATCTTTACTGTGCCTCATGTTTTCATTAGGCTGCAACAGAAGGAGACCTTGGTTTTGCATCTGCCTACATCCATGGCTATATCTCATTTGTTGATCATCGAAACGGCCTTGTGAACCTTGTACGGGTAAGACAAGTGTCTGGCCGATTTGTTTTTACATATTTATAAAATCCAGTGAAGTTAGGACACTATAGGAAAGTAAGTTCAAGATAATCCTTCTACCACAATTGATTCAATTCTTGCTTAATCTTTTCCAATATGTTAGTGGGAAAATGGTGGGCGTGCTTTGAACACATTAAACTTGGATGCTGAAAACAAACTTTTATTCTCACCAGACTAGAAAAGGGGAAACCTATTTTTTTTTAAAAAAATTATGTTAGTCAGAAAATTCTTAATAAAAAATAGAATTGTAGGCATGTTTGATTGTTTAGTTACATGGATTCACATTTTTTTTTTGGAAACCGAAAATTTTATTGCATTCCAGTAGCGGTACATCGAGATGATACACGACTTTGGAACGAAAAGCTTCTAGCCTCTGCTTAAAGGATAGGCACACAGCTAATATAGAGATAAAAGACTGAGCAAACTCTAGTGACATTCAATCCTAAGACTAGATCGCCACCCATATGCGCGGATAAATATATCCTTTGCCACCTGCTCCAAACGTCGCGATGCTGCCACAACTATATCCTGGAACTCCGAATTCTGAAGGATAGCCCACGAAAGAATCCTGTGGGAGATTGCATAGATAACCTGCAAAGGAGAATTAAGTTTTTCTTTTTCAAAAACAACATCATTCCTGTGTAACCAAATAGACCAACAAGTCACACTGCCCCAAGCAGAACTATAGATCTAAGATGTTTTGTAACTCAATTTAGCTAGCTGTCAAACATATGTTCTACACTTTGGGGTTTCGTTAGGTTAAAGGCTACTTGGGAAAAACTCCAAATGAAGCTCAATTGTATCCTCTTCCTGACAAAAGCAACAAATTTTGTTTCCACGCCAATTACGCTTAATTAGATTGTCCTTTGTTAACACTACCCCCTCCTAAGATACCACAGAAAAATCTTTAGCTTAAGAGGCACTTTAATTTCCATAACCGTTTACTCAGATTAGGAACTGGGGTTTGTATTATTGCTTTATAATGCAATTTCACCGAGAATTGCCCATTCGGATGCAAAGACCAGTAAAATTCTTCATGACCTTGTAACAACAAAAAATTGGCTATGCGTGCCAACAAATGATTCCACTCCACTAATTTAGGACCTATTAGATCTCTTCTCCAGGAAAAATTAGGTGGATAGAAGCTCAGTGCTTCTGAAATTGTGACAAATTTTGGCCTAACAATGTTGTATAGACCAGGGTATTGGTTCATCAAACTCTGATTGCCTAACCATTTGTCTTCCCAGAATTTGACATGTGATCCATCTTTAATAATAAAAGATCAAAAGCGGAGGAAATCATATTTCACCTTCAGCAAGCTAGCCCAAAAATGAGAATCACCTTGTTTACGTTCCACTTGCACTATAGGTTTAGAACCTAGATATTTGTTTCATAGCAATTGTTGCCAAGTACCATCTGTTGTTAGGAGCTTGAAGAGCCATTTACTCAGCAAAGCGATGTTCTTAAGATTTAAATCAGCTATTCCTAAACCACCATGATCCTTTGGCTAACATAGAATAGACCACTTCGTGAGTCTGTATTTTCTCTTATGTTCATCACCCTGCCAATAAAACCTAGATCTAAAATAATCCAGTTTCTTAAGAACCCCTTTTGGAATTGCAAAAATGGACATCATATATATCGGGAGACTACTTAAGACGGAATTAATCAACGTCAATCCACCCCCAATTGATAGATGTTTGCTCTTCCAACTGCTGAGTCTTTTCTCAAAACGTTCCTCTACCATTCTCCAGTCGGCATTTCTTAAAGTTCTGTAATGTATCGGGATGCCCAAATACTTGATTGGCTACTCTGTTTCTGTTTTCTGACTAAATCTATGAGCCATATTGGTACAGATTATAATGGCTAATAGATGTGAACGCAAGAGGTTATACAGCACTAAAAGGACAAGGTATCTCATCTTAATTCTAAGAAAACATCTGAAGTGTTTCATCAATATGAAGGATCGTATATGAATATGCTATTGCTGAACTTGTTCAAATGTGCCCTGCAGTGGTTATACAAATTGCTTGGAATTAGTGGAGTTGCATTTGCAAAATATTCTGCGTCATGCCTGGCGGAAGAATAGTGTATCCAAAGCTCGTAAAAATATATCTGAATGCTATGATCTGGTTAGTGAGCTTTCTTTGTATTTTTAAGAATAAATAAGATAACTAACTGTTCGAAGTTTACAACTATTCTCCCTCCATCCATATGCTGGAAATCATTCACTTCCATTGTTGAACTGACTAAGTAGTGACAGATTTATTCAATGTGAAATATTTTTGTGCAGAGTAATGATTTCTTTGCTCTTTATCTGGATCCAACAATGACGTATTCTTGCGGTATTTTCAAGGTTTGCAAAATCTCATGATTTAATTTCCACATTGTAAATTATGTAGCTCTGTTCTCGAACAAGAAAATGATGTAGTATATATACTCTTGTGAGTAATACTCCTCTTGAGATTGCTTCATGACTTGGATATATTGGTTCTAATGGTAGGCTGAGGACGAGAGCTTAGATGCAGCCCAGCTACATAAGCTTGACAGTCTCATTAATAAGGTAAGAAAATCATAATATGCATTAATTGTGCTTTGTTTGAACTCTCTTAGATCATAAATCTCACCTGATCGTGAGACAACCGCAATATATGCATTACCTTATTAACTACTTAATAGCTTGCATATAAAAATCAACATGACCTTATATATATGATGTCTTGTTGTTGCAATGAATCCATTTAACTGAAGGCTAAGGTGGAGTCAGGGCATCATGTTCTTGACATTGGTTGTGGTTGGGGCACTTTAGCAATATGGTTGGTGAAGAAAACAGGTTGCAAGTGCACAGGAATTACATTATCCGAGGAGCAACTGAACTACGCCAAAAGAAAGGTGAAAGAATCTGGATTAGAGGTAAGTTATATTCTTTTCTTGATAGTAGTGGCCCGAGACTGTCTTTTAGAAATATTATCTAGCATTGGAAATTTTAAAAGCATGACAACAAATATCGAAGGGCCAAAAGTTTGATAGGATTATAAGTTGGTGAGTGGTACTGCTGAAGTGATCACAGAAATGATAGCTCAGCTGCTGGTCTGATAACTATGTTCTCTTTGCTCATTTAGTGAGATGCTTGAACACGTTGGCCATGAGTTCTACGAAGACTTTTTTGCCTCCTGCGAGTATCATTTGGCAGAACACGGCACATTTGTCCTCCAGGTTGATCATTACCAATATATATTTATCTTATACACACCATTGTATGATTGGGGATAATGTTAGTCTTCAACAAACTAATTTTTTTTCTAAAAATTAAATTTATATGCATAGTCCATCGTGGTCCCAGAGGAATTGTATGATTTGGGATAACGTTAGTCTTCAACAAACTATTTTTTTCTGAAAATTTTTATATGCACAGACCATTGCGCTTGTAGAGGAAATGTATGACAAAATGAGGTTGCGGCCTGAGTTTGTAAAGGCATATATCTTCCCCGGTGGCTGCCTACCGTCTCTAGGCTGGATTGTGTCTGCCATGACTAATGCATCAAGGCTCAAGTATGTACTCAACTATACTTCATAGCTATTGTTTTACAAAGTGATCTATGCATTATCACACAGTTCTATATTGTTGAGTACTCCTGTGTGCAGCATACAACATGTTGAGAATATTGGGGACCACTACTACACGACTCTAATGAACTGGTGGGACAACTTCGCGGCAAACAGAGAGTAAATACAATACTACCTCAAACTCAAGTTTAGTTGCAAGTGCTTATTTATTTATATTACTTAGTACTAGATTCTCTTATTTGTTTTGATGTTTCGCAGAAAAGCTTCTGCCCTGGGATTTGATGAAAAATTCATCCGTACTTGGGAGTATTATTTAGGTTATTGTGCGGCTATGTTCAAATCGCGCATTTGTATAGATTACCAGGTACGCACTTACTATCCACACTATATAGGTTAACAATAGCAATTAACTTCAGTTATGTGGTAACTTTTAGTTGACTACTGTTTGTATGATATGCAGATAGTGTTTGCTCGGCCAGGCGATTCAAAGCTACCAAGCTATGTTGCCATTGCATAAATGGAGGATGTTGTGTTTATGTTTCACAATATATGTTGTATCATAGGTGTCAGTGTGAACTTTATTCAGTCATGTACGTTTGTGTTGGAGAGCAGGTCAGCAGCTGCTTGCGTGAGATAGTTTGGTTAGAGAGGCACGTAAGATGCATGCTAGAAGTCCATGCAGGTGAATGTTGTGGCTTGGAGGCGTGGTCTAGCACTTGATGTCAAGGGAAGTACCTAGCTGCATGGTTATTTGTGTTAGTGGTGCTTTAATTTGCATTAGATTGGTGCTCCACGTAAGATGCATCTGAGTGCTTCGCGGAGTCATGCGGCCAAACATAATGAGTTGATGACTTGTAATAATATTTTTTAAATATGTTGAAGTTTGTTATGTATAAAAGAAAAGAGGCACTAATGTGTGGCCAGCCAAAAAACTCATTTGTGTGGATAACATGTTTCTAGACACTACTAGAGAAATGGGCTTTTTATTACAAATATCATACTACGTCCAGCATCAAATGAACTGTTTTAGATGATACGCACAATCACACTTTATATTAAAAGCTTGTAGATCGATGCTCATGGTGAGTGAAGTTTGAGAGTATTATTACCCTGTGTTTGACAGTATTATTAGAAAGCAGGGTTTATAACACAACATGGAGTGACATCTTAGAATATTACTCCAGGTTTAGAATATGGTATACAGGGATGCATAAGGATACTCTAACATATGTTTTAATTTGTAACAACAAGCACTACAACAAATCTAGCCTTCTCTGTGACGTATTTCTAGTGACAATGGAGCAACGCATCATTGATTTATGATGTTCTCTAGATTGTGTTCTAAAAAAGAACATGGGTTGTATTAACGACGAATAGGAAAAAGTATCATAGAAACATCACTAATACCAGGGTAAAGATGTCCCAAACCACTCCGCCAAGTATTGTTAGGAAATATTATAGTCGAACCGATATGAAATCATCACTAAGAGATAGTCAATGGGTTTTGACGTATTATTTATTGAGTTAAATGCACTAGCGGTCCTCGAACTTATAAGGGTGTGTCACGTAGGTCCACGAACTTTGAAAAGCATTTCTAGATCTCTAAACTTGTTAAGTGATGCACCGCAGGTCCATGCCAGCCACATGGACATTTTCTGCTTATGCGGCATTTTTTAGATAATGTAGCATCTGATTTTAAGGACAAAACTAGATACACACCATATGTGTGCCCAGGAATTCAATTCATACATATAGTTACAAATGAAGGGGTAATATCAAAAACTATGCCTTTATTACATAGCGCATAATTATTTGTTACAAAAGACATAGTCTTACTTTACAGTATATACTATAACTGTATTCTTTTGGCGAAATCTCCAACACCACAGAAATCATCAACTGGTTGATCACAAGCCTAACACCTCTTTGAAAACCCCACTGAAGAACCTCCATCTGGTACTCATCCGGGATTTTGCCAAAGTATTGAAATAAAACAAGCGTAAACTACTACCGCTTAGCAAGCATAACATGAGGGGATGCAGGCTCAAAAGGTTTGACTCAGCTGAACTGCGGTAAGCACTTTTAGTTGGTCATATTTTATTATTAATCATAAGTTGCTAGGTTATGCTTAGCCTCCCGAATGTGAATGATTAGAGATATCAATAATTTTAATCATAACCCAAACCCTCCAAGTAACTAACTATTCAGTAAGGATCTAGACCGCTCGTGTCCGTGAGCACGGCTGATATACCAGTTTTACACTCTGCAGAGGTTGTACACTTTCACTGTGAGTCGTGATTTACCCTTTCGCCCGAGATGGCCAACCTCTTGACCCACTACCAAGGAAGGTCAGTAGGGTTCACTATGAAGCCTTTCAAAGGTTCATCTAATAAGTTAGGGTCGCTAAGGTTTCCTCATCAATAAGCATAAACCCCCCTCCAAGGAGTGACTAACAAAATACCAAGAAACCAAAGTGCACCCTCTTGGTAGGCCAAGATCATACCTGTCGGAGCTCCTCTTACGCCATAAAGGTAACCACTAACAAGCTAGAAAAGGTCCTCATACTGAGCTAAAGCCAGAGCCATGTAGCCCTCATAGCTATACTGTAAGTCTCAGATATTCGCTTATAGATAAGTCCTTAGGGAGAAGAATCTAGAGCACCATAAGAAAAGGCCCAATGCTCTAGCCCCCTTGGTTCCATGTTGCTAAAAATCATCTTTTAATATCATGTTGCATATATCTTTAATTGTATTATTTAATCAATATTAGTTGGGGCAAACTGAGCATACTACCCACATGCAAAACCCATAGGTAAATCAAGGATAGGATAATCAATATCAAGGTAAATAGACTCCAAGCGGTTCATTAACATATGCATATGAATTGAGATTGCATTAAAGTGAATAGGTAACAAGGAGCCTCATATTATACTTGCCTTAATTCAAAGTATCGTTGCTGGTCTTCATCTTCAAAGAGTTGCTCCAGATCACCAACACAAAACTCACTGTCTACCCGAGATCAAACAGCACCACACAGGCATCCATACATACATGCATAGCAAACAAACATAAGGTAATTAGAACAATACACCAAACAGTAGAAATAGAAGTTAAAAATGTTTTAAAACTATTCTACGCGATGCTACGAGCACGCAGACGAGAGAATCACTTAAATCGGAGATAGAACGAAGAAGTTGTGAATTAAACAAGATTTCCTTTAGTAAAATAATAGATTAAGTCTAACCTTAAATTTTAAAAGTTGAAAACATACTTAATAGTAGTATGAACATGTAGATTATGGCCCCGTTCGGCTTACCCCATATCCGGCTTGTTCGACTTCTTTTTTCAGCCAGAACAGTGTTTTTTAGCCAAGATTCAACAAGCCAAACGGGGCCTATGGGATTATGAACCTAACGCAAGTTGAACGGACCAAATCAGAGTTAAAACGAAGATTTTATGGCCTATAGAAGGTAGTGACAGTTTTATAGTTTTTAAAACGAACCTATACATAATTTTGATTATAAATAGGAGGTCTAAATTATAAAAGTGCCTTTGTTGGACGACGGGTTCTAATACATGGAAGTTTAGGGGGTTTTCCAGAAGAAAAAGGACTTAGTTTGAATTATTTTTGAACTTGGAAGGACTACGGGTTTATTCTATAGAAGGTGAGGGGCTCTTTAGCAAAACGTGTTGTGCGACGGGGTAAGTTCTAATCTGAGCCTTCGATCCGCGGATGGACAGTCGAGATAAGTTGGGAAGGTTGGCCGGCTAGAACAGAAGGCCACGCGGCGATCGGCCATTGCCGGCGACAGAAAACTCGCCGGTGGTCTCCATGGCGGAGCGAACCGAGAGCACGGGGAGCAAGAGGGCGCCACAGCGAACTCATAAGTGGGGTCGGAGAGGGCTGCGACAGTGCGGGGATGAGCTTGGCTCAGAAGGGGCGGCCCAGAGCTTGCTGGAGAACTACAACGGCGTGGTTCCAGCGGTAGAAGGCGAGATAGGGGGCTAGAACATACCCGAGGGTTGCTTACCTTCACGCGGAGCTCGGTAAAGAAGTCACGGAGGCAGAGAAGCGGTAGATCGGCGGTTCGACGACGGCGGTGGTGCTCAAGCCTACGGCGGTGCTGTTCTAGGGCACGGGAACACGGCAGACTTGCTCAGCTTCGATGGAAGGCGGCGCGGGGCGTGGCTGCTATTTAAGAAGGCAAGGCAGCTTGCGGCACACGCAAAACGGAGAGGGAAGCGGGGCGAGCGCAGACTCCCGACTGGTGATGCGGTGTCCGACTCAAAGGCGAGAGGAAAGGGATGATGCTGCGCAGCGAGCCTAGGATAGAAGAGAGAGAGCACGGGGAGGACGCGTGCGGGCTGTCCAAGCCAAGATGGGCCAACTACTGGGCTATGCGGGAGGCTGAGCTGGCTCCGGCTTTCTGCTGGGCCGTCCTAGTGAGATTGGCCTACGCGGCTACGCTGGGCAGAAGCCAACGGAAAAGGAGTGGGCTGCAGGTGAGAGTGGGCCAAAAACCAGAAAGGATGAGAGGGAGAGAAGAAATCCGTTTTTTTTCTTTCAAGCATTTTCAAATTCATTTTCAAATCTTTTTGAATTAATTTGAAGTTTGGTTACAAACCACACAATGCAAAAATAATGTGCAGCAGCATGAATGCACAAACTTATATGTAGACCTATATTTGTTTTTAACTTAATAAAAATTATTACTTTTCTAAGTTTAAATGCTCACCAAGATACACAATTAAATCAATTCACCTATATTTAAAATGGTGCAAAATTTTGGGTGTTACAATTCTACCCCCTTAAAATAAATCTCGTCCTCGAGATTTAGAAGTTGTTCCTCAAAGAGTTGTGGATACTCCACCTTTAGATCCTCTTCTCTTTTCCAAGTAGCCTCATCCTTTGAGTATCGATTCCATTGAACCTTGCACATCCTGATCACCTTACACCAAGTAACTCTCTCTCCGTTGTTTCCAAGATCTTGACTGCATACTCTTTGTATGTAAGGTCCTCTTTCACATTGAGCTCCTCCAAAGGTATTTGTTCCTTGGGCACACACGAGCACTTCTTCAGTTGAGACACATGAAACACATCATGTACCCAAGACAAGCTCTTTGGCAATTCCAACTGATAAGCCACTTCTCCTTTTCTTTCTAGAACTTTAAATGGACCAATATAGCGAGGTGCTAACTTGCCCTTCACATTAAACCGCTTTATACCTTTTATGGGTGACACTTTGAGATAGACATAATCTCTAGGTACAAATACCAACTCTCTTCTTTGCGTGTCAGCATAACTCTTCTTCCTTGACTGTGCCACTCTTAAGTTTTGTCTGATAGTCTGCACTTGCCTTTCAGCATCCTTAAGGATCTTAGGTCCAAACACTTGACTTTCTCCTGTTTGGTTCCAGAACAATGGAGTTCTGCACTTTCTACCATATAGTGCCTCGAATGGTGCCATCTTAAGACTCTTCTGGTAACTATTGTTGAAGGAGAATTCAGCATAAGACAA